TCGATTTGATGGAATAATATGTCTATTTTATTACAGTTTTGTAAGGTATTTTATAAGTTCAATAATGTTGATTAAAGTGTGAATTTTGATAGTAATTGATAAGATAATTACACTTAAGTTGCTTTAAGGTATGAGCGGCAAAAGAAAATACTTTCACCAACAAATGTTTGTTAAGACTTTCGTTTAAGTCATTATCTTTCAAAAAATATCCATTTTTTAAATTATTATCTTTAAAAACATTATTATTATTTTTCAAACAAAGTATTTTAGTCAAAGTATATAACACGTGGTTTATTATATGTATATGTATTTTATATATATATATATATATATATATATATATATAAGAGAAAGAGAGAGAGAGAGAGAGAGAGAAATAGCCTTTTGCAGCTTTCTAAAAAATTCGAATTCAGCTTGACTTGGGCTATTCTCGTTAACGATTGATTTAATTCGTCAATTCCGTGTCATATCTTCTGGAAGGTCACTTGATCTGTAATGTCGCGAATTATTGAAATGCTAAAGAAAGCTTCGCTTTTTTTTTTTGAGAATTTTATTTGCCATCATATTTCTACAATGTATCCGCCACTGTACGGCGACGTTCAAGCCGCCCGGCAGTTATATAAATTCACGTCGCATTGTGAACTCACGCACGCCAGTAAGTCGCCGGCAATTATCCGCACGTAGCAGCGACGTCGATCGCGGAGGAGAGATGGTAGCATCCTCGGGAGGTGGCATTCGTCGCGTTTTCGACTGTAATTCCTCTCGTGACGAATTCTCGTACATTGTCAAAGCCTTCGCCGCGCCGCTCGGTTTCCTGCGTCCGCCCTCGAGCGAATCTCAAGTCATGATGAGTCTTCGCCCTTTCTCTCTCTCTCTTTCTCTCTCTCTCTCTCTGCGCGATGCGCGCGTTACGCGGAAGGGGAAAAAATGCAGTTATATCGAGCGATGGGTGCAAACAGTACCGTTACACTGTAAGATAACATCGCGTCACATCGATATTACGAGATAACGAATAATTTTACCGCGCATCCCGTCCAGGAGACATATTAGTCCCAGCAAATGCAGATAACTACAATGTTGCAGCAACATTGTAATATGTCTGCAATATATAACTGGAATGTCGCTGCAACATTGCAGTTACCTATAATCTGTGTTTGCTGAGGGTCGCTCCGCGATTCTCGTTAGGAAGTCGGAGATTTCTCAAGGTCGGACGATCCACGATTTTGTCTACGCGGTGTCGCGCGTGCGTTTCTTTTCCTCTTCCCATTCTTCCCAACGCCCTGCATAAAGCCCGAATACCCTGGTAACCCCCTTACGGTACGTTAGACCGCACCGCTCGCAAATCGGTTGGCAAGGCATGCTTGTAACGCCCTTTCGTGTGACGGACGATTATCGATCTCCTATCTGTGCTCTCTCTTATTACACCGCTTTAGAACGAACCGCGTATGTACCCGACGGGCATGCTGTTGCAAAATACGTAAAACGCGTATATGCTAATGTAATTAAAATGTAATTACTATTTACAATGAATCTCGTCCTTCTGAACTCTTACTTATGACGGGATGAATATAATAAATAAATTACATTAATTGAATTATAGTGTATGCGAACTTTTTTGCTTTACAAATGCAAAGTGATATAATGTATTCGGTTGCATTGCGGTCTATCACGATATTATCGGTACGTTAGATTAAATTTGACGCGCACGTATCTCTTATTCCTTATTTTTTATGTGCACAAGTGCGTTTAATATGTCTTGTGTTTTTCGATAAATCCCCGTCACAACGCTATAAGAGAGGATTTTGCTCAAAAGTATTTTGATTAAATACTCACGTAACAGATAAAAAAGATTTAAAAAATTATATATTCCAAGAATCTCTTCCGGTTTTTAATCCTTATTCAATTATTATTACAATCAGAAAAACTTGCGATATTAGTTCATTATTCATAAATAATATCTGAGATTGAATATTATATAGCATACATAGATTATGCGTAAAGTAAAATCATTGATGCGAATATCGTACACTAACTTGTAAAACATTTGTTTTTCTCGTAATACTCTGTCGTGACGAGGATTATGTATTATACAGGAATTCCGATTAAACATTTGCGACGTTTGCGTCAAAGGTAAAAAAAAGTAATACGCCATGAACTTCGTTTTTTAGATTCCTACGTTCAATCAATCAGCAATTAATTCAGTATTAATTCAGTATTATTCCAATCAAAAATAATAATATCGCACTTGTAATTTCAGTATTTTATGCATGGAACTATTAAAATAAGATCATTAAAAATTATGCGGATATCGTAAAATATTGTGTAATATATTTTTTTGTGGTACTCTGTTGCAACGTGAAAAGAAAAAGGAACTGTACGTAAAAAATATTCCGTTTAAACGTTTACGTCGAGAGATTTAAAATGACGTGCCGAGAAGTTTCTTTTTAATTAATTCTTAAGCAATTTTATAATCAGAAAAACTCACGATACTAATATCATTATTTTATGTACAAAAGTATTAAGATAAAATCACAAAAAATATTATAGAATATCTTATATTTGTTTTCCGATGATTATTCTATATGATTGGTTGGACTACGTGCACATAATTGCGTTAAGAAGGATTCTGGTTTAGAAAGTGATTTTAATTTTAAAAGATATAAAAAGTACATTTCACGATTTAAAAAAAAAGGTTTGAACACAGAAATATAAAATTTTGGATATTAGAAGATGGTATTTATTTATGTTTAAACATACATATGTATATTTGAATTTTTGAAAGTGTTTAAGTTCAATATTTTTTTTGGAAATTATAAACGGTTACAAACATCCTATCTTAAAAAAAAACACTTGATAGTGTGGTGATTAGAGAATATTATTGGAGGATAATACTTCTATAATGTTTTATACAAAACAAACGAGTCAACAAAATTTTTAATTATTCTATGAATGTCGGTATTGTCTGTACTAGAATGAAAAAGTTATACTAAGATTTAATAAAATACGGCATTATAAACATCAAAGTTTTAATTTTTTTCAAAGTTTTGCTTTTTTTCTCAATAAAAAAATATATAAATTGTAAAGATATCGATACTTGATTGTAATATGGATCATATTTATATGGATTAAAAATTTTGTTGAATCGTTTAAGATAAAAATCCTCCAATAATCTTTACCAATCATATTTTTAAGGTAGGATTTGCATAGCGGTTTACAGTTTTGAGAATATTGAGCTTTCAAAAATTCATTTCATATAATTTAAACATGAATTACTTTAGTGACAATTTTTCTAAGAATTCATATAATTTTTCAGAATTTTGGTAAAATTTTATGACTTTAGAAAATTTTTAAGATTTTTTTATACGCGAATTGGAACAATTTTCAAAAGTGAAAAAGTCTACATCGTTTCTAGAATTTTTTACATATACATGCATTCTGAAATATTCTATTCTAAGTTTTCTAAGATTTCTCTTCATTATATAATTTCTATTTCTGTGGAAAAACTTATATAAAATATAAAAAAATTTAAGATATTTTTTCAGAAATCTTTATCAATTGAAAATATGACAAATTCTTTAAAATGAGATATATGATAATTTTTTTCATCAGGTATGTATGTCCAAAATTTTACGTTTCTATACTTGATAGCTTTCCTATAAATAAATTATGAAATTTAATCTTAAAAATCGCTTTTTAAACCAGAATTCCTCTTTCTTGTAAAAATTTTAAAGTTGAAAACGTGTTAATATTTATAATTTTCACATAAAAATAAATACTAAAACAAAATAAATACTAAAACAATTCAGAAAGGAACTGCCTTTTTGGTTTGAGCTAGATCTTTGTGCTTGATAATATTTTAATGTGAAGTTATATACATATATATCCAATTCTGCGCGCCAATCTAATTTCAGTCTTGAAACATAATTTTAAACTGAAACGGGAATAATAATATCACTAAATTAAAATTAAATTTATATTAGGATGACCTTCACTACAAAAGGCAGTTTTTTTTCTTGTGTCATACACGTGTCGGATGTAAAATCATTTATTGTTATTTAAATACTAAAACTATATATAAGTGAGATGCGAAACATCATATTTTTATTTAACAATATATCAACATAGTTTATCTACTGTATTTGCTATTTGTTTTTTATTTATAATACTTTAACTTAAAAAGTAATGACAAAATATCAGGTTTTTTTGTATAAATTTAGGTATTCAAGGCTTTAGATATTCAAGATTCATGCAAAATCTTGTTACGATACAGAAATTAATTGTTTCATAAATAAGCACATAAATAAACTTGACTTACTGAACAACTAATGTCTATATTGTAATAAAACTTTGTATAGCAATGTAACTTATAAATAATCTTTATTACTTAAAGTATATGTACATATATAAAAAAATTGACATTTTTATTATGTTTTAAGTTAAAGTATTATATGATAATAAATAATAGCGAAAACAGTAAATGAACTATAAAAATGTGTTGCTAAATAAAAATTGATGTTATCTATATTTTGCAAACTGATTCATATGTAGGGAACTAAAAGCTCCGGGAATAAGTTGTTCTAACGGTTATATTTTAAAAATATAAATTATTAAATGTCATTTTTTCAGTTGTTTTCAATTGTTTTCATCGCGTGAGTCGATCACGCGATAGCTTTAACAACGCTATCTCTTTTCATTTTGAAAATTAACCGTCAGAACAACTTACCACTCGGAACTTTTAGTCCCGGTCTCCCCTACATAGTTTTAGTATCAATTTTTATATGAGCTGCATTCCCTCTCTCCCCCGAGATTCCTCCCCGTCAGTGTCGAAAATTTAAAGCATACGTCACGTGCACTATAGATTTTCAGTACTGACTGTAAATATCCGAGCGCATGGAAGGTATAAATATATATCTATATCACTATACATCCTGAACGCGTGACTAACCGATGTGTACGTAATCCGGAATATCTGAGACAGATCTCGCTTGTTTTGTGCACAGAAACAACGAGTTCGTACCTGCAAGGAACGCGACATGAATTCGACGGACGCTGGATCTGATCGCAAGCCGCTTGAAGAATTACGGTTCGACGTATACATCTGTGAAAAGGGGACGTTGCGCCGTACGCAGGTGCCGTATTCTTGTCTTTGAGGGTCGTCCTCGTCATTCCGTCGTTTCTCTCACAAGGGTCGATTAAACAGAGGCGATCAGTGGGAAGAGTCGGCCGAGTCGTTGGACGAATAGAACAGGTAACGTATATAAACTTTAATTAATTAAAAGTTAAGCTTAATTCGCGCTGGTGTAACGGGCGCAAGTTAGTAGTGTGCCTCGGCACTTCATTGATTCTATATATCCTACGCTATTCTGTGTCCTGGGCATTCCACGACTCTTGCGCGATCCGAAATGCCTGCAGCCGCTCTAGATTAAATGCAGAAGATAAAACGCGTAAAGAGAGAACAATTAGTCGATGTTAGAGCGAGGTTGCAATAATTCTAAAGAACTTGTTCAAGAGTAGAGACGTGTAAAAACGTGAGAAGAAATAAGCTTATCTCTTATAGTCATACCAATCAGCAAACACAGATTGTAACTGTTATACCACAGCAATATTGTAACATTTCTGCAATATAGCTGGAATGTTTTAATATATTGCTGCAACATTGCAGTTATAATCTGTATCTGGAACGTTATCAAGTTCAAGTTTTTTTTATTAATTTCTTCTTTTAATCTTCGAATTTAGAATCTTTGAAATAAATTATTAGGTAAGATAAATTTTTAGTAATGTCAAATGCGATCTGAAGCGGATCTTGGTGCAGCTTAATAATAATGTGAATCTTACAATTTCTGTAGTTCAGGTAAATATTTGTTTGCGCGCCGAATATTTATCGGTCTTGAAATACAGTTTTAAACTGAATCCGGACTATATAATATTACAATTATTGCACAAGCAATAATTTAATAATTTTTTATGCCAATGAGTATCTTATTAATCTTTCTGAATCTATTTTAGAATAACTTATTGCGAAAAATATTAATACTTTAGCCAGGATTTGAACCTTCCTATTTTCCAGGCGTCTTATCGTTCGTCTACCGACTATGTCTAACTAAATCCAGATTTAGTCTGGAACTGTGTTTCAAGACTGACAAATATTCGACGCGCAGTTTATCTGAACTAGAAATTGTAAGATTCATATATAATTATTATTAAACACCAAGATCCTCTTCAGATCACATTTGGCATTACTGAAAATTTGAACTTTCGATTAAGCGTTACACCAGCGTTTTATATTAATGTTAAATTATTGAATGTTACGTTATTCTTTCTTACTGATTAATTTTACTCTTATTGCTCTTTATTTTATTTCTTCGCGAAATCACATTCTATTTTTTTTTTTCATAAGGAAAGATACTCAATTTATAGCTTTAAATATGCTATAAATTAAATTTTAAAAAACGTTTTTTTTTTAATAATTGCTTTTCGCACGCTAAGAAAATGAAGCATCTATAATTGAAAAAGATTGATTCTCATATTTCTCAAGTCGTTCTTCAAGACAAGAGACGTATATGTCATGGGTATTCGATATTGATTTGGTTCTTCTTCAAATATGATGTCAAACACAAAAATAACTAAGAGACACGTATTTTTTATTAACCATTTGAAAATTTAAATAGTAAAACAACCTCTCAAAAGTAACATTTACATTTGATTTTAAGCAATTATCATTGAAACAATAAGATATATCTACATATAAAAAAATGTAAGCCAAACTTATGATTTTTTAATATTCGTTTACTGTGTATTTGAAAAATGCATTAAGTTTTGTATATTTTCTTCTAGTTTTATTTTTGCTTCGGTTACTGGCATTTCTATTAGATTGTATTGCATTTTTATCGATACCGAAAGTAAAAATATAATAACGATTTAAATATATTCGTAGTTGAAGATATTAAAAGTTAAAGTTACACTAATGATGTATGGCCTTGGGTTAGAATATTATTATTTATTTCTTGTGTGAAACAGTGACGTTTAAACATATTCTCAAATGTGATGTTTTTTTAATTCGATAATCAGTAAATAATGGAGAGCTAAATGAGCTCGCTGGGTGTTTGTACTACTAATATAATGTATTTTTAAAGATAAATAAATTAGTTATGTAATAAAATCATAATTTAAATTAAACATATGTTTCGACCTTCCTAGAATGGTCATCTTCAATGTTGAATACATAAAATTATTGTAAACGCACATTTATGCATATTGCAGTGTTTCTACGCAATAGAGAGAAATCATAAGAATTTTGTGTATTTAACACTGAAGACGATTGTTCTCTAATAAGAAAAGGACCTAAGTGTCCCCCTCCGATTTCGATAAGCTTTTAATATGTTATTCTCCTATTCGTGTTCCTAAGATTATATTTCTTCTTGGATTTCTCACGGAAAACAAAAATATAAAAAGGTATAATAATATATAATATAATATATATTTATCACTTTAAGAGTAAATGAAAGTATTTGTCTTTAACATAATAAATAATACAATGTTAATGTTAAACAATGAAAAGTGTAGACAGCAGTCTACCATCTCCTGAAATACGTTTGTATAGTATACGATAACTGTTATGTTTTTTTTTTTTTACAAAAGTAATAAGAATAAGTATCAAAAGATTTTTCTGCAATATTGAAATAAAATACAAAATAAGAATTTTATATTTTATTTCAATATTGCAGAAAAATCTTTTACAAGCATTTTTACAAGCTAAAAATTGAATTATACGAAAAGTATAAATATTAATATAAATTTAATATATTACCAAAAAGTAGTGAAATTCTACCAAAACTCTTTTCATAAAAAGAAAAAGATTACGCCAAG